AGATTACATAGCAAAGTACGGACGGATGTCGGAGTCCGCGGCTCGCTACAAATTCTGGCAAATCATCTCGGCGGTGGAGTACTGTCACAAAAAGGGCATTGTGCATCGCGATCTCAAGGCGGAGAACCTGCTGCTGGATCTCAATATGAACATTAAAATAGCGGACTTTGGCTTCTCCAATCACTTTAAGCCGGGTGAACTACTGGCCACCTGGTGCGGATCACCGCCGTATGCAGCACCAGAGGTTTTCGAGGGAAAGCAGTACACGGGTCCGGAGATTGATATTTGGGTGAGTTACAGTAAAAATGATTGAAATAGTTGTAACAAATATTTTTGTACTAAAATACAACCAAGCCAAATGACTTTTCCAATTGCTTTTATCAAAGTAAAGTAATCCGTATTTCTCCGTTGCAGTCTCTGGGCGTGGTCCTCTATGTGCTGGTTTGTGGCGCCCTGCCCTTCGACGGATCCACCCTGCAGAGCCTACGGGATCGGGTGCTATCCGGCCGCTTTCGCATCCCGTTCTTCATGAGCTCCGAGTGCGAGCACCTCATCCGCCGGATGCTGGTGCTGGAGCCCACGCGTCGCTACACCATCGAGCAGATCAAGCGCCATCGCTGGATGTGCCCCGAGCTGCTGGAGCACGTCCTCATAGCCAAGTACAACCTGGGGGCCGAGCGGCAGGCGGGCATGGAGCCCAGCGAGGACATCCTGCGCATCATGGCCGAGTACGTAGGCATTGGGCCGGACAAGACGCGGGCCAGTCTCAAGAAGAACACCTACGACCATGTGGCGGCCATCTATCTGCTCTTGCAGGATCGGGTAAGCCACAAAAAGGAGCAGAGCAATGGTTCCGTTTCCTCGTCGGCCTCGACCTCCTTCTCCTCCGCCGCCGCCAGTCGGGTGCTCTACAAGAGCACCAAAATCGACCAGCAGCAGCAGCCACCGCCGCAGCAGCAGCAGCAGCAGCAGCACCCAAACCCTCATCCACGCCCACAGCAGTCCAAGACAATATCCACCAGCTCGATCCTGGCCAAGGATCAGGCCCACAAAAGACTTAGCCGCCATCAGACGGTGCTCATGAGTGAGCGGACGGCCCATGCCGGGGCCACGCCCACTGTGCCGGATCCGGGATACTATGCCAAGTACGGCCCCCTGCAACTGCCACTCCCCCTGCCAGGTCCTTCTCACCTGGTATCTGGGTATCTCAATGGAGGAGGCGGCGGCGGAGGAGGAGGAGGAGGAGCAGAGGTGGATGCCGCCGGGATTCCCCTGCCCATGCGGTACACCCCACTGCCGACGGCCGCCTCGCCCGCTCCCTCCAACTGCTCATCCACATCATCGCGCATCGGGCGACACAGTCTGAGCTCCAGCTCGCCCCGGAGTCATCGGCCTGTGGCCATTTCACTCAGCATCGACAACAATCCCTCACTGGCCAACCTGCGCTGCCGCGAGATGATGGAGGCTGGTCCTGGCGGACCTGTTGGACCTGGAGTGGGTGTGCCCCTGGTGTCCAAGCAGCTCCATCAGACCATCAGCGAGTTCATCATCAAGCAGAGCACCGAAGACTGCCGGGCGCTACTGCAGCAGGTGAGTGCAGGGCAGTGCTTTTACAGACACAACTAACCAAACACGCACCCGTGTAACGAGAAATATACACAAAAAATTTAATTTGGACTAGTGAAGGGGAAAAAAAAAACTTTGTCATGGTTGTTTGGTTCGGTTTTATAGACGTAAGCTCCCCTGCCCTACTGAGTACCTACTACCATTCATCCATCTCCATGTCTCAACTTCAGTCCACAGCAGTAGCGGAGGGCAAGGAGGAGTCGTCAAAAGTGGAAGCCGCTCCTCCGGCTGCCGCCGCTTCTTCCACCACACCCACATCTCATGCAGCGGGATCAGGTTCCTGCCCAGGCGAGATAAACAGCAAGACAATAAAGGCCATGTCCAGCTCGAGCAGCTTCGACTCCAAGGCTAATCTCGGTCAGAGTTTTCGCTACAAGATGTCCGCCGAGGCCAGCAAACTGTTCCAGACTCTCCAGGAGAGCCCACTGCCTGTGGAGGTGAGTGCTAGCTGGGATTAGGCTGACGATTCTCTACTCCCTTTACCTTATACCTCCAGCAACGGGCCAAGCGTCGTGGGCACTTGGGAAGCACCAATGGCGAATCTGGCCAGGAAATGAATGAGTCTAAATCAAATGGCGACAGGTGAGTGTGTCGCCTTAATAAAATCATTCCCCGGACTAAGACCGTTTGGGGGCATACCAACAGCCGCTCGGAGAAGAAGGTGTTGGCGCAGGGCAGCTCCAGCACGGACGAGGGCTGCGAGACGGACCAGGGCAACGATCCGGGTTCCGCTGGCCAGGAGTCGAAGGAAGCCAACGGCGGACCCACCACCTCGCACTCCAGCAGCGATCTGACCCACCTGGCCGGAACAACCTGTGCCTCCACCGGGCAGAGCCACCGCATGCGCTCGTATGCCAGCAGCAGCTCCTCGAGTGGAGTCCTGGCCGGAAGCGCCGGCAGCTACTCCAAGAGTCTCAGCCAGAACCTAAGTCGCGGCTCCTCTAAAAGCAATTGCAGTGGTCCCTATGACAGTTTGGACTTTGCCCTGCCCTCTGGAAAGGGCAGTCTGCCCTCGTGCATGGGCTCCAGCTCCATGCTGGCCACGCCCACGCCGGCCTCAGCCCCGCCAGCTGCGGCCATCTCATCGGAGCACTCCTCGGAGAGGTCTCTGTACGGCAGCCACAATTCCTGTATCCATATGCCAGGTGCTCTGGCCTTGGGTCTGGGTATGGGTCTACCGCAAAGTTCGGCCTCCACGCCCACGCCGAATCCCACACCGCCGCCGCCCAATGGCGGTGGTGTTCCGTTCCTGGACAAGCGATCACCCATCCACTTTCGCGAGGGTCGACGAGCGAGCGATGGGCTGGTGGCCCAGGGCCTGCTGAGCTCCGGCTCCTTGTTGGGAGCCAGTCGCGTTTACGGAAGCTATCGCTACGAGCAGGCCAAGCGACACGGTTGGCTGGAGATCCAGCAGCTGCAGCAGGAGGCACATGCCCACCAACATCCTCACCAGCATCCGCATCAGCATGCACATCAGCATCCCCATCAGCATCCGCATCCACATGCCCAGGCTTACGGCTTGGAAGAACTCTGTCAATTTCCAAATGGTCAATTCTACGCTCTGCCCGGCAAGCACCATCACCCTCTGCTGACGTTACCTCATCACCATGGACATCCGGCTGTACACCACCATCCAGGTCATCACCACCCACTGCTCCATCCAGGCCATCAAGCCACGCCGCTTCTGTTGGAAACCGCTGCTGGTGGGGACTTGTACGGACATGGATGCTATGCCCCGCCACCGCCGCCTCCAGGACTATATCAACACCATCCGGTCGGCGTGGGAGTGGGTGTGGGCGTGGGCGTGGCCGTGCCCATGTCACCGATGCAGAAGCCACCGTTGCAGCAGCAACTCCTGCAGCACCGCCTGCTGCAGCAGAAGCGTCAGTTATTTCAAAAGCAGTACGCTCTGGAGGCACAGCTCGCCGGGCGTCATCATCACCAGCACCAGCAGCAGCAGCAGCAGCACCACCACCACCACCACTTTAACCACAGCCTGGGTCATCCACCACCTCCGGCTCCGGAACAGCACCTTGCCGACGAGCTGTTTGAGCTGGCCCTGCTCGATCGACCCAGGAGCGGAACTCCCAAGCTGCAGCACTCTATGACCATGCCCGGAGCCCATGCCTTCAGCCAGATAAACCTGAAGACCTCCTATATCAGCCAATCGGACCAGGGTTCGGCTGCGGCGCCAAATGGAGGCGGTTCCGGAGCAGGAGTGTCTTTGGCTGGGGTATCCTGCTCAGCGCCACCGTCCACAGCGCCGGGCACGCCCACGGTCAAGTGCAAACCGGCCACGCCCCACGGGCACAGTCTGGAGTCCGACTATCATGTAAGTGCCTGGCAGACAGTACTAGTTATTAGAAACAAACGGTGAGCAAGCAAAAACATCTCAACCTATGCTGTACTGGTAGCTCGTCAAACTTTTCAAATGAAAGCAAAAAGTGTTCTTTGCTTTGCTGCGAAAAATCAGTCAACTGCATTAAAAGCATTTCATTTGTCTTTGCTTCTCCTTATATTTTTGAAAGCAAAGCTACATTAATAGCATTTCAAGCTTTTAAATACAAAGCAAAACATAACTTTCGTGTTGCTGTCAGCAAGTTAAAATTTATCTTAATACAAACTAAATCAGAATGACCATTAAGATAAAGCTAGAATTTTATCGAAATTTGTATTGCTTTCGTAGCAATAGAAACAAAAAAAAGACCCAGCTAATTATCCAATCTGTAATCCCCCTTTTCATTTCTTTTGCAGACATCTACACCCGTGCTCAGTCTCTTTACACCCAACTGGCAGTCATTGGTGAAACCGCTCAGCGAGAGCCCCATCCTTGAGATATCCGAGCACTTGGAGTCAGTCTGAGACCGGGGAAGAGGCATCAAACTAATGGGGGCCGGACCAGAGCCACCTTTTTATTAAGCTCGCAATCGCAATTTTGAATTATTTGATCCATATATGATATACACCCATGCATACATATACATAGCCTATACAAGTACGTATACCTATACAGATACGATTACGAATACGGATGCGGATGCTGATGCGGAGTCGGATGAAAAATCGGATTTACATCGATCGCGGCAGGAGCTATATTTATTGGAGCCGATGGAATCAATTCCGAACCGAGCTGCCGAGAAGCCGTAATATTGAAAAATTTAGTTGTGTTACTAGCCTTAAGTAGTCCAAGTTTCTTACGCATACACGCAGACATATACAATATGTATATTGATAATAATAGCGTTAAGCTATAGCTCTACTTATGATTACACTATACACTATACACTATTGTATTGCCCCCACAACAGAGTGGTCCGGAATTTCGGAATTCGTAATTCGGAGTTGGGTGGATAAGAACAACGTAACTACATATATCAATTATTCGAAGCATTTATTGGGGGCATAGATAGGGTATATCCATATACGGATATATCTATTATGTATTGGTACAATAATTAGCGACAAGCAAAAAAAAAACTAAAGCAAACAAACATCGATTGTTCTTAAACATGGAATTCAAATGTAAAACCAGATATTAAAGTCATTTGGTATAAAATGCACTACACTTCTGGAGTTCCTACATTATATAGAGATAGATATAGATGGGCGACCTGTGTTTTCGTGTGTGCTTGGAAGGAAAGATCCGATAGGAACGTGTGACTAGACATCGAGTGGACATGGAGGCACGATGATCGCCAAGGGATCAAAGGACTTATCTGCTGATCGTATTTTAATGTGGATCGTTTCTTCCCACAGATCATACAGTATGAAATTTCGGTACTCATCCCATATATCATATCCTGCTGGGACGGAGGATTAAGATGTTAGGAGAAGGACTTCCTCTTCACGTCGTGGCCTTCACCTGGCGATTGGTGGACTCAAGGTGCTTCCGCTTGGCATTGGAGTGGACCTGATTCCGTTGCTGCTTGTGGGGATCTGGTGATCCATGACAGCGTAGTAGGTTCCAGTAGGCCCTTCGGTACTCGGAGCTCATCAGGACGTAGATCAGCGGGTTGATGCAGGTGGTTAGGTAGATGAGTAGGTAGCCGGCGATATTAAACCAGTGCAACTCGGTGGCGCTCTTCCAGATTTTGGCCACAGTGATGGGCAGGTAGCAGATGACGAACCACACAAAGATCACCAGTATCATCTTGAGCAACCTTCGGTCCTTGGCACTCATCCTGCCCGGGTAAATGGAGGAAGCATTCGAGGTGTTGCCCATGGAGACGTAGTGCGACTTTCGCGGACTGAACCTGGTGAAGGAAGTCCGAAGCGAGGTCGTGATAGGGTTCTTTCTGAAAGGGGGAAGGCACAACGGTTGAGAGAGAGACCCATCAAGGTGTTTACCTTGCAGCAACTCACCCAGCCGACTTGCCCATCTCCAGTTGCGTTTGACTGCGTCCCAGGCTAAACTTCTCTTGATCCCGCTCCTTAAGCACCACATTGGCATCCACGGGTAGCTGCTGCAGCTGCAGCTGTTGCAGCTGCTGCTCCTGATCCCTCCTCCTGATGCTGTACGAGATAGGCAGGCTGTCCGCCGAGGCATTGTCATCGATGTACGCCAGCTGCTCCTCCACTACAAAGGGTCGTCCGGGGATTGGTGCATCCTGTGCCTCGCCGCTGGATGTACTGGCCTTTTCCGGCCGCTTTTGCATGGCCATGGCTGGGGCTTGGTTCTGCTGAGTCGTGGAACTGGGGGTCACATCACTGACATTGCTCTTCCCAGCGGTTCCAGCTCGAATGGCCGCCTTTCGCACTAGCAGGAATATTCTAGCATAGCAGATCACAATGCAGATGCAGGGCACCATGAAGGCGGCGATGAAAAGGAACTCCTTGGGCGATCTGCCATAGCGATCGTGCAGAATGGAGCAGGATCCGATGCTAACGTCTAGGCCAAAGATACCCCACACGCCGCGCCAGGTGGGTATCATTATGGAGAAGGTGGTAACCCAGGTGCCGGCCACCATGAGTGCCAAGTACCGTCGCTGGTAGATCCTGGTTGCAGGAACATGGAAAAAGGTTTGGTTTCATTTATTTCCTTAATTCTTGTATGGCTTTTTTCGGCTTATTGCATTCATTTGAGTTCGTTAATCCAGATTTTGGCTTTAGAACATAATGTTATTTTTGTAGTTAATAAAAAAAAAAATTCTAAAACAAACCCAATTTTTCTCCTCTTTTATAAACAACGGAACCAATGTTTGTTCGAATTCATAGAAACACTAGGGAATGTATGAGTTTTTAATGGAAATTATTCAATAGCAGGAAAAACATAATTATTGAACATTAATCAATTTTAAATGGCGTTTTATTTCCGAAAAATATATTTTGAACGTTCTAGGACATAGTTCAGACTGAATCTACTCATACCTGGGATACTGCCTGGGATGGGCGATGATGATGTACCGGTTGATGGTGATCAACGACACGGAGAGCAGTGAAACCGCCAGCAGGCCATACCGCAGCATCGGAAACAACCTGCACCACAGATCACCGTGCGTCCAGGCCCGCTCCATGAAAGTGGAGGCAGCCAGGGGAAGATTGAAGCAGCCAAAGAGCAGATCCGAGCAGGACAGGTTAATGATGAATATGGCCGTTGAGTTACGGGTCTGCCGACCACGCGATAAAGCTACGATCGTGAGCAGATTGCCGGGAACACCCACGATGATGAACACAATGCAGGCCACCCAGGCGATGGTCAGCAGCTCGTCCGAGTAGCCCTCGAACAGCTCTTGCCGTCCCCCATCCAAGTGGAGGTTTACATCCACATCCAGGTCCAGACTGTCCGGATCCTGGACAGCCTTGCTAATCGCATAGGGATCGGGCAGTGGTGGCAGTGGTATCAACGAAATCGGTAGCGGATTTTGATTTTGGCCGGGTGGGAACATCGCGTGGTACTTTGTGGTCGGCAAGAGGGCGCGTTGCTCGTTCCTGCGCCGAATTTGTACTAAACTGAATTCTCCGCATTCACACATCCATCCACATTGTTTCCACCCAAAAAGTGGGCCCGAAGGCAGCCGCCTCTAGCCAAGCGTACGAAATATTGAGAGACAAAAAAAAAAAAAAAAAAAAAAAAAAACAACAGGCGAACTAGAAAAACTTTCGAAAAAAGGAAAACAAAAGAATATCGGAGCAGTAGCAGCAGCAACAACACACATTTTTATTGTATACAACAATTGACTTCATCATCGGGTAATTTGGTAATTTGCCTGTGGAATGGGCGCTTTGTTTACATTGTTCCTATTCGGTGTTGTTTCTTTCGCTACCGCCCCGTACCGCCACTCCCCATTCCGCCTATTCCGCCCCCGATCGCCGCATTTTTCCTCGATATTCTGACGGGGTCAGTTGTTGCTGTTTTTTGGAATTTCCAAATACCTAAACCAGGGCTACCTGCATCGTCAAAAATCCAATAAAGAATTTCTGTACATTTCTTTTTTTTGCTCTACAGTTTTCCAAACTGAATAAAAAACAATCATAAAAAAATCATAAATATAAATACCGAGTACTTTCTACTGGATTACATACACAATAAATGAGTTATAAGTTACACAATTTCTTTGGATTTTACAATAACGTTTACAACTGTGAAATACTGATATATACTGACAACTTGTAGCAGTCATTCGTTACAAAAAAACGAAGTTTAATTGGTAATAAAGTCACGTTTGTCAATCGAATGAACAGAATTAAAAACGTGCTTTCGTTTGTTTTTATGATTCTATTTTTACACCACTTTCCGTTTTATATTTTAATTGAAGACTTCACGGATGCCTTCCTTTAGCTTAAAGGTCTTAGTATAAGAAGATAAATGTAATTAATAGGAGAGGAGCTAAAAAAATAACTATGTTTTTTTAGAGCGAGTCTCTTTGCAGCCCTGATTTCGGGCCGTACGCACCTCTCCGGGCATTTTCGAAATTGAAAACTTTTCGGTTCTTGGGCCGTGCGTTTGTGTGGGTGCATAGTTTCCTCTAGCAATTTTCTGGATAATAAATGGGCAGCATCCATTCGAATCGACGACTAGCAACTAAAAAAAATGGACAACTTATGCGAGACTCACTCGAGATTATGGTGTATAAATATGTACATAGTATATGTATGCGATTGAATCTAAGCGTAAAATAAGAGAACACAGTCATGGGCCACGGACCCTGAATCATTATAACATTATCCGCGCCCCCATAACCCGTTAAGGAAAATGAGTCAACCGGGGTCACACGACGTCAGAGTTTAGATCGAACGCAGTCTTAATTAATTAAGTCCATTTTCTGGTTCCCTCTCTATTTTTCCGAGGGTCAGAGTGCGGGTCGTCTGTTGTTGGGGCAAATTGAGTATCGGTTGCCTTTTGAAAAGGAAAAAACAAGCGGTTCGGGGAAAACTCTTTGGCAACGGTTTGTCGGTCGCTGTTTGTTTTCATGCAGGCCAGTAGTACGGCAACTGCAGTCGACAACACAAAAATAGAATACACTTTCCGAGAAAATCAAGCGCCACCTCACATTCACCTTAATTACAAGAAACTACAATAGTTAGAATTGGATGAAGTTTTAGGAACTGCAATCCGTAATAAACAAACTCATGAAACCGTAACACATGTCAATAATTGGATAATAAAATTAATTTGGCAGCTTTAACAAGGGAAGTCTTATGTTTTTATTTTATTTTATTTTTATTTATTAATTTTATTTACGCTAAATTTTACCAAATTTTTAAATTGTTATTTACAATGAAAATCTTTGCAGTCTCAAAATTAAAAACTTTTTTTCTTATAAATTATATTACTACTGCTTCTCTTCCGTCCCCTACTGTACGTGGAAATGCTTACGGAATGGGTACTAAAGTGGAAACTTAAGCTACCCCGACCATTGTGGATGTGATTGTGAATACGAATTGAACGTCAATCGAAGGCCCAACCCACCTCGTCCGCTCCTGATCCAGATCCGGCGTAATGTAAACTTCTCGGGCGTACTTAAACGCATACGCACACGCACGGGCCTATGTTTAGATAGCCATAAACCATAAACTATCATGTTCTTCACACAATCCGCAGCAAACAACAAACAAAAGCGAGTGCACACAAATCGCTACGTCTTCGATTTGATATCTGCACGTGTAAAAGTAGGCCTCTCCTAGATGGAGTCTTCCTATTAATTTTGATAAATATTGTTTTTTCAATATTCAGTTTCAGAAATGTAATAACAAAATATCTATAAATAAAACTAGCTGAGTAATTCGTTTTGAATGTTGCATATTACTTTGGAAAAACAATTTGAATAATTTGTATGTGGCTTTTCCACCATTAGATCTATTTAAAATGGAAAAATTGTAATCAAACCAAATTTTGATCTTTTTCTGGGGATTATTTTTTGATGTAGGAGACAAAAGCACTTTTTTTTCAGTGGATCGACAAAATCGTTGTCGAATGTCCAATTGTGTAAACGTTAGAATGCAGACATGAAGCCTTATCAGTTGTTGTTGTTCCGAGGCGTTGTTGTTCTTGATGTTGCTGCTGTTGCACATTTGCTTCTGTGTGGCACAAGAGGAAGAAGAAGCAGAGGGAGGAGCGGGCATATCTGCGATATGCATCGGATCAGCAATCATTGAGCGTTCGAGCTCCTCTAACTCCCACACCCGCCCCTCGATCGCCAGATGGCCGTCGATCGTTTGTCTGTCCGTCCCTGTCTGTCGCACTATCTCCGGTTGAGGAGGCGAGAGTGCGGGAGTGTGAGCGAGCGAGAGAGCAACGGAGAGCGCCAAGTCATGGGGGCAGCAAAGGGGCGTGGTGTAAGGGGGTCCAGGAGTCTGCTTCAATATATTTGAAAATTATTAATGCTAAGATATTTAACAAAGAATTAAAGAAACATTTTTGCACCAATAAAAATATTACCCATTTTCGAAAACTAAGAAATTAAGCCAGATTTTTTTGTTGACAGTTTTCAACAGTCATCATAAAGCCCTAAATCGAGAATGGGTTAGAGAATTGTTAGCAAGAGCGTTAGACCCCCTGGAAATCTGCCCATCTACGCCCTTTGCTGGCAACAGAGAGACAGTTTGAGAGTGAGAGTGAGCGGCTCCTATTTGTCAACTGGCAATATCAATATAGCGACTCGTAACTTGCGACCGCGCTGTTCTGCCCGCACTCAACGAACTGCACGAGATCCGGCAGTTATAGACGATCCGTTTCGAATCCGATTTCCATCCGAACCGAGAACGCGGTCGATACGCAATTTGTCCGTTACGTTCAACCGCTGCGGATTGTCTACGCAATCCAAGTTATAAACAAAAAGTAACTCCGATTTCAGTTCGATTCGAATGTCATTCGATGTCTTTGGTTTAATCGCAAACGGTTAACCTCTTTGGGATTTCTTTACCTTTTTGTTGATGTGATAATGTCGAGTGCTGAGTTGGAGCTTGGATTTAACTCTGGACAACCTGTAACCCTTTTATTCTCTACCTGATCTCGCGCGAGTCAAAAGTATTAGTCATGAAAGCCGGGGCGGCTTTTGAATCACCGACAACAACAATAACAACAATAAAGGCAGCAGCAGATTCAGTGGCGTCCCCAATAAAAACAAAAACCACAACGTTAAATGAATAACCCCAGCGAATGCGAATGCCGTAAACTGTTTACATTGCTCACAGCATTACTCACTCACTCACCTTAACCTGAGCGAAGAAGAGGAAGAAGTTAGAGTGGAGTGGAGTAAAAAGGGGAGCAGTTGATTTAGAGATCGCAGCTGCTGCAGTGGTTTCGATTACGTGAGCAGAAAACAAATAAACAAGCTATTTCCCATCCACTCACCACTACTCACCATCCCCTCTTGACCACTGATAACGGAACTGCAGGGGGAGAGAGAGGAGTAGAAAGCAAGGAGAGAGAGAACGGAGAGAGCGGGAGAGAGACCCTTGCGATCGCTAGAATCGCTGTGGATTACCAAATAACAAACCAAATTCGACCAGGTAAATACTGTTTTCAACCGATAAGATAACGGCATATATTCTAAACTTGTGGAAGAAGCGAGCCAGACAGATTGCGTATACGCCCCATTGGGCCACTCTAAATTGCAGCCATGACCTGGGCAGGGTTAAGGAAAGAGAGGCAAATAGGATAGAGCAGAGTACACAGAAAACAAGGGTTTTAGTTACGAGCAGAAATGCAATTAATTTTCATAATACACCCTTCTAAAATTGATGCTTACATTGTTTAGAAAAACGTTTACTGCCAAGTGTCGGTAGGTTTCAAAATAATACACTAATATACTAGCATAAATGTTGTATATTGAAATACAAAAAAAAAGATATTTTTAGATACAATATTTCAAACTAAAAGTACTCCTTATAAATTAAATGAAGATCTGATAAAAGGGTACACAACGAAAAAAGGGTTTGTAAAAGGGCACACCATGTCTATTCTAAGCAATTAAAGATTTCAAATACAACCCCTACCACAATAATACTTATTTGTTATAAGTCTTGCACAATTCTAAATCACTTTTACGCTCAGTGGAGAGAGTGGTATAAGAACATAACACTTGTCCCGATTAGCGACCACTCGAGCGGAGAACAGAGCACTTTTCATCGCATCACACATTAGAGACACCCGTCTCCGCCAAACAGTCACTCAATTAATTAAGGTTCGACGCTGATCTTTGCACCCCAAGTGGTGCAGAAGCTGCGGCAGAAACAGCCACTGAAACTACTGCTGCCGGGCAACCGAAACCGAAACAGAGACGAGTGTGACCTCTTTAAATTATTTAATTGACACTAATTTATCATAGTCCCAAAGAAGCAGAAGGGGTGCCACGCCCCAAGCCGGGTTACGGGCTTCGGACTCCGGGTGGCTGGTTACGGTTTACGGGTTACGAGTGTTGCGTCGGCGCAAAATGCAGTCAGCGGCAGTTTTTTTTTCGAGCCATGCCACTCAAGTGCCCCTGCCGCTGCCAGTTGGCAATTGTCGGCGGTGGCGATCGGTGTTCAGTGATCTTGGATCGGTGCCAGTGGCAAACGTGATTGTCAACAGGATCAGGAGCAAGTAAATCAGAAACCAGAAGCTTTTTAAATAGTGGACCCTAGTAGTAGTGTAAATCTTAGAATGTCCCTTTTGGGAAAACCTTTAAAGAAAATTTATTTTCCATTAAGCAAACGTGAATCATACATGAAATCTGCAAAGGAGAAAACAACATCTTTCAAAATACAAATATATTTCGATATCTTTAAAAACTAAGCTAAAGTTTATTTTATTGTGTGGTAACCGCAAGATCATTTTTATTTATACGGTGTTTTTACTTGAGAACAAGTGAATCAGCCATCCCTTCAAAGTGAACAGCTTTCCCGGAGAGAAATGAATGTAAAATACAAATATTCTGGTTTGAATCGTTAGCTACTCGATCATATATTTTTTTGTGTATCAAATTCCTTATTTGCGCGAACCCTTTCACGTTAATCCCATTATTAAGCATAACAGTAAATACACTAGACCTTTGGATAAGGCAATCCCAATTCAGTGATCCATCATTAGTTAATCATTGACCGCTGTGGAAAAACAGCAACTGATTGAACAACAAGCCCAAACATTTGCTAACCAACTGATAACCTTGATGGTCGAGATTTTGTCAACGTTGATAGCGTGCAAGTTCATCGGTCTTAAGAAGGAAGTGTTTCTCAAACATAATTAAAAAAATCAAGGGAATATTTGTTGTGATCAATATTGATTTTTGTGTAACCCTGCACTCATGTTGAATCTTCACTTAAGAAAATAAGTCATTCTTAGTGATAGTTTGTTGCAGGAAAAGAAAATGATTCATATCATCAATCTTTCATTTGATGACACTGACCCATCCCAAAGATCATGATCTTAGGGCACTACATCATGATTTTTTGTTATTTTTACGAAATGCTTTAAATTTGTTAACCCCGAGTAGGTTGTAGTATGTAGCTTTTCCCAGGTCCATACATCTCCTATCTTTAATTGGATATCACTTTAATAAAGCCCATCTATCCCCTCCCCTCTCTTCCAGCAGTATGAGTGACAAGACAACTATTAGCCTAGACGGCTATCCTCCCCTGGAGGCACTGACAACTATGGCTCCAACGGCAGATGAGAACGGGTAAGTTGGGTTTGGGGAGCTGGGTGCTGGGAGTGTTGACGATGTGCCAAGTGGGTGCTAAGTGAGATGGAGCTATCAGCGGTCACTGGGTAATTATAGCCCCCGGCTGGGAGAGGTCTGATAAGAGATCGTTAATATTACGCGCTCCATTGCACCAGTGGCGATCGCTTGGCTTTCCGACAGACAAAGACGGGCGATTCTTGTAAGTAGCCAGCGGAAGCCAGTCCGATATGGTGATAGCCACAGGGCCATATGGGCACCAAAGTTCAAAAGAGATCTTCGGCTGGGAGGACCACTCTGTGAGTGCATTGAGATAGACAGCCAAAATGCAATCAATTGGAGGTCAAATAGGGAATGGTATTTAATTATTATATAAAATAAGTCAGCGAAAGACTATTTCATATTACTAGAACATCGTGCTCATGCCACCAATTCGTTTGCAGCTTTTCACAGTCGCTTTTGACCTTTGCCGCGGTCATGACCTTTCTCATAATGATCGTTGGCATTTGCGGCAACTTGCTGACTGTGGTGGCCCTTCTTAAGTGTCCCAAGGTGCGCAATGTGGCCGCCGCCTTCATCATCAGGTGAGGTTATCTCAGCTACCCTTTTAAACTAACTAAACTAACTTTTCGACCCCCACATTTAGTCTGTGTATTGCCGATCTGCTGTTCTGCGCCCTTGTGCTGCCGTTCCAAGGTCTGCGCTTTGTCCAGGGAACCTGGCGCCATGGACAGGTATTGTGCCGCCTGATTCCCTTCATCCAGTACGGAAACATTGGGGTTTCTTTGCTGTGCATCGCAATGATCACAATCAATCGGTATGTGATGATCACCCACCACGGACTGTATGCTAGGATCTATAAACGCCACTGGATTGCGGTTATGATCGCAGCCTGCTGGCTGTTCTCCTATGGCATGCAACTGCCGACGCTGTTGGGGGAATGGGGCCGCTTTGGCTATGACTCGCGCCTTCAGACCTGCTCCATTATGACCGACGACCATGGACACAGCAGCAAGACGACCCTGTTCATCACTGCCTTTGTCATTCCCTGTCTGGTGATCATTGCCTGCTACGCCAAGATCTTCTGGGTGGTGCACAAGTCGGAGCAGCGCCTGAAGCGGCATGCCACCAAGCAGAACTCGATACCCAACAATCTGCGTCCGCTGGCCAGCACGGGATCTGGGGCCCTGCCCTCGGGAGGGGAGTGCCAGCAGCAACCGGGCAACCGAGTCTCCTCGGACAGCAGCAGCAGCTTCTCCACCGAAGTCCCGGAGACGGCGCCCAGTGGCAAACAGCAGCCGACCAGGGTCAAGGATCAACGCGAGGTGCGGGCCAAGCGAAACGAGTGGCGCATCACCAAGATGGTGCTGGCCATCTTCCTGTCCTTCGTCGTCTGCTACCTGCCCATTACCATTGTCAAGGTGGCCGACAAGAATGTGGAGCACCCCAGCCTGCACATCTGCAGCTACATCCTGCTCTACTTGTCGGCCTGCATCAATCCGATCATCTATGTCATCATGAACAAGCAGTACCGTAAGGCCTACAAGACAGTGGTCTTCTGCCAGCCCGCTCGACTCCTTTTGCCCTTCGGAAAGACCAATGGCGCCAGCAGCGCTGCAGGTACGTGCCTGCTGGGGCTTGGCCCACCACTCATCACCTGAACTACACGCACTAAGTCACGGTCATTCTTCGTTTCAGAGAAATGGAAAGATACCGGGTTGAGCAACAACCACAGCCGCACCATCGTCTCCCAGATGTCGGGGGGAACGGGAGCGGCGGGATCGGGATCGGGATCGGCAGCACAGAGCACACCGGCAAGCCAGCCAGCAGTCCAGGCGCTGGAGCTGATGTCGCGCGGACCAGATCTGATCAGCAAATCAAACCTCCCCCCGCTGCCATCAGTAACGACTCCTCCGCCGCCCTCAGTCCTCACGGCGACGCCAAACCTGCGACTGCCGCTCAAGAAGAACAATCACTCCTACACCAACAGCGGCTTCAACAGCAGCAGCAGTCCCAGCAGCGGGATCGGGATCAGCAGCAGCTCCATTTACCGGCCCGGAGTTGGATTACTGGGGAGCGGATCGGCATCGATCCGGCGCATAACAATGGTGGGCGACGACATAATACTGGAGGAGGAGGAGCTGCCGCCCACGCCGCCGGCGACCTCAGCGCCCACAACGCCGGCACCTCCGCCGCCGTCGTCCTCAGTCCCAACGCATCCGCTCGCCGTAACCCAAACGGGAACGGTGACGACCGGGACGCCCCACATCTACATGAACGTGGACAGCCCGAAGAGAAACCAATCCTACGCGGAGTGTAATACAAATGCCGCAGCACCACCGGGGGATAATTCCGGTTCGGCAACCGTCTCCGTTTCAGGCTCCAAGCTGACGGCTAAGATGAAATTCCCAAAAGACTAACGAAATGCTTTAATTCCAAAAAACGTAGTTTTCATGCTACTTTCGTTATAAACAAAAATATGCCAGGCATTGTAAATCGGTACAATCGTGATTGGGTGGTGAATATCGTAAACTGGTGAGGATTCTTTGAAGAACTCACCAGTTCAATATCATATTCCCCATATTGTAAGCAATTTTTTCTATAGATATTGTAATTTGATATTTAGTATTTGCCAAATAACAAAATATAGTCGTTAGAACCGTGCCATAGTTTACGCTTTAGATTCTGATTTATTTTCTATTTCAAACGTTATTATTTCGCAGACCAATGGATCCATTTCTAATGGAAACAAATTTTTGTTTATTTGATGATAGTCGAGCTTCGGCTGTTTATTGTTCTTCCATCCTATTATCGTCTTTCCAATATCGTTTCAGTCTATGCCTGGACCATGATTTGATTTTTCGAAATCACATTACACCCTACACTACTTAGTACTAGTTATAGATTGTAGATATTTATGATCGCCCACGCTTAGTATTAACCCCTGCTGTTTCTACCTTATATGCTTACAACTATACTTTTTCTTAAAACCGGAGTCTTTTACTTTTTTTCACTATTTTCAACACAAACATTCCTTTCCAACGTAGGCCTTTGTAAATGAACCTATTGTTAGTCCACCACAAGCACTCCATTCGAAAGACGATAGAAGCAAATCGAATATGAATATAAACATAAATGTTTACAAAAATAAACAACACTTGTAATTTATTACCGATGTTTAATTGTTGTTCTTGAATAATCGAAATTCTGGGAACGTTAGAGAACGGTTGGAATGGCGAATTGAGTCCCTTCTCCGATCCAGTGAAAGACATACATATATCTCAAATCACTTGAACTGATTCATTCGCGGCGGTGGTATAAGCTAATAGTGGGCATAATTTTTTGTTTGCCACAAGGTAATTAAATATCAACTGTTTTTTTTTCTTTGCTTACCAACAAACCCTTGACCTCGGGCCGGCAAACATTAGACTAAGCTGCTTAGTTTATTTTCGTAGTTTTGGGCAATATTTTGTTTATTTGGATTATTTTATCAATAAAACATCCGAATTTTGAAAAACTTGGCTAAACAATTTCCAAAAAATATATATTAGACTGTTAGTCTCTTAAGCAGAGCTTTTATCTCATTGGCCTAAGAATAATCTATACAAGCTGGGCGTAGGCCATCGCTGACCTAATTTAGCGGCTCATATTTTCCGCTTTTATGGGGCGGCACACAAAGGTGGGCTGGCTTGAGCTCGGGCTCTGGAAGTGTGGGTTGCTGAGGGGGTGGACTGAGCGGACTGGACGGCGATTGCTTGGACGCTTATCAGCGAAGCTCTCGTTCCAGAAAGTTGCATTCGCATTCAGTTCTCTGCCACCGGGCGAGCAGTTAAGAGATCGAATCTGATCGGATCGAAAAATTAAATTAAATTAATAAAGTGCAAATTGGAACGGAATGAGCTATAACAACGTGATTTGTACGATCTGTTCGGATCGGTATCGCACCACAGACAATATTCACGCCGGTACCTGTGGACACGCCTTCCACGAGGAGTGCCTGAATCGCTGGCGAGAGCAGTGAGTGAAACCTTTTTCCAAAATAAATAAACCGAAAAAAGTCCTGATTAACAAGGCAAACCAAAATGTTTAAAATTCAAATCTTAAATAGATACTAAAGTGCACAAAAATGCTTAAGGCAATATTGATTGATTGTCGTGTTCTCTATTTTAATGACCATACAAAGAACATATATTACTTTTCTATTGAAAGATACATCTTTTGATAAAATTAATCTGATACACAGCAATTTTGCTGTAGAACCAATTTGTTATGGTTATTTGTTTCATGGGAATCCCCGAACATTATCGGTGAACTTTAGGGTTCGCTTTTGCCAGTAAATGGCATTGAAAACGAAATCGCGTCCGAAATAAACAAACATACATATGTACATATATCTCCATCCACTTTCTAGATCAAGAACTTGCCCCATCTGCCGCTGCCAGGATGCCACGTACTTTCAGCTCTATCTGGATTTTGAGGAGTTGCCGGAAAGCAGATCGGCGCAGGGGGCTGGCAGTACAAGTGGGCGGAATCAGAACCAAGGTCACAGCGACAGCAGCCTCAGCAGCAGCAGCAGCAACAGCAACAACAACATCATTGCCAGCAGTACTGGCGATTACGGGGGGATTATGAGAGAGTATGAGAATCTGCTATATGAGACGGGCGTGTATCAGGAGGAGATAGAATATCTAAATGAGCGCATCGGTGCCCTAACCCTTCGTAATTCTCAACTCTGCAAAGTCCATGGAGAGTCGGACACGGATTGTGATTAGAAGCCCGCAAAATAATACAAACAAACAGAAACCCCTCTGTCTAAACATTTCGTTATCTGCATATGTTGCTTTAAATTATTAGGACAGATAAGAATTGCTAAGGACGCTGAGGCAAACAAAAGATACGAGAAAACAATATAACTAACATATTTGCGATAAATTGGATTTATAAAGGGAAAGACAGGGAGATATGATATATATTAAACTACATTTAAGATAAGTTATCCAATTCTAAATATTGATTGGCAGTAAAACATCAAAAAACATTGATTGATGAAAAAAATATTTTAAATTATGAGAAAACGGATTAATTTCTTTTTGATTTCTTCCTTGTGAATAGAAAAGATTTTCTACTCGTTACAAAACACCAGAGCAGGTCACTTACCTCCTAAATGTACGCCATTTGTTTATGGTTTCCACAGGTTGAGATCACCAGGATGGCCAAATGAGGGACGTCTCGGGCTGCAATGACAGTAGGGTGTTGTTAGTAGTCGGAAATGTTAAATGTTAAAAAAGTCTGTTTTGTGAAACCTTAATAAGAAATCAAAAACGACTCAGAATGCGTGACCAGTTTGAATTTAAAATCACTTTCGCGGCTCCAAACCAAACGTTTCCCAACACTACTCCCACAGAATCTGGGTGTGTATCCCTGATTTTCCTGAATACTCGATTACCGAGGGATGGCAACATAACGCACAATTAGCAAAGACTTTTACTAAGATCGTAAAATACACATTCGGGTAGCGAAAAAATTGAATTTTTACTAGTGTGACCGAGTTTTGAAAAGTTAACTGAAAATGCATATTCTATGGTTATGGTTCACGCTCTGGTCAGCTGTTGTTTCGCGAATTTGATGCTTCTTCTTGCACGCATTCGCTGCGAATGCCAATTACCGCGTCTCTTTGTATTACTACAATTACAATAAAAATTGCAACAAATTAAATCGGCGTCGTGTTTCCGTCAGTGTGTGCCAGTGTGTGTGTGCCCGCGAGCACTGATAACTGATAGCCCCGCTTGATAGCCAGTGAATAAACAAACAAAACAAAACAAACCTTGCGACGCATCCAAAGGCGCTGGCTGCAAGTAAGTTGCATTTGCATTTGCATTTCGCGTAATTTGGTTTGGTCTTGGTTTCACGTTGCGGTTCACTAGCCAAACCGCTCGATTCTCAGCGATTTTGGGTCGAGGTTGTTGGCGCCAGCAGCGGTGAAATTGGCGCACATTCACATTTCTCCATTTCGCATTTCCATATATGTAATTGCAGCGGCGCAAAATTATTTGCTCTGTGGCAGTGTGTGTGGGTGGTGGGTGTGAGGAGAGTTTGGGGTGTGGGGAGCCAGACAGACGCAGCGTTGCATTCGCCCCTGCCAGGGTTGTCGCAGCACTCGCTCTCTGGTGTTTATCTCGATTGATTGATTAATTGGCCTTACCCAATTGTAAAAATATTAAAAACAGTGCTTCTTAGCGTTTTAATTGGGTCACAACCACCCACTGGTTATGGTTTGTGCGGGAGAGGCGGCAACTCTATTCACTCAGCTTGGTAAGTTAGAGATGTGCTAGCTGCCAGTCACGAAGAAACCGTTTGTCTTAATTAGGAGAAAGTTAATACTTAAAGTATGAACTTTATTGAAAAAAAACCGTTTTAGGAAATAGATAAATTTTGTTTTGTTTTTTTCTTTTTTTGTATAAAGCATAAATAGTATATTATTTGTTGGATTTATTAAGTATGCATAAATATAAACATCTATGTATATATTGCAAGCATAGTTATGTGTTTTGCAAAACAACAGCAACAATTGCCAAACATTCTACATTAAGTACTTAAAGATCCAGTAAAGCTTGGCTCAAGCTCACTTAGTGCTTTGCTGCTATCAATAGTCGTTAGTCGTGACGGCGCAACCTCTGTCACGGTCCATCTCTAGAATGGTGAGTTCCGCCGCCGTGGTGAAATTGCCTTTGTTGAGAAAAAATGTCGACGCGAAAAAAGGTTTTTATCCATTAGTCAGAAAGTCTGGCATTCTTTGTTGTTGGTAAAAAGCACAATTGTTTGGCGGCGAGCGAGAAAAGTGCGCGGCTCCAGGGGGATTGGATTGGATTAGGATTATGTAAATGCAACAACAACGGCCCCAGCAGCGAATCAACGAGACTGCAACGCCACTAGGCCCCACGGACGAAAAAGCGGACGGACGCACGGACGGACGACACGGTGGCGTTGGCAAAGTGAAATCCCCAGCGAAAGCGAGCGAAGACGACATACGCAGCAAGAAAACTAGCGAAAGAGAAACGCTACAAGGAGCAGGAGGAGGAGCTCCCCCAGGATGGACAATTGCGACCAAGACGCCAGCTTCCGGCTGAGCCACATCAAGGAGGAGGTCAAGCCGGATATCTCGCAGCTGAACGACAGCAACAACAGCAGCTTCTCGCCCAAGGCCGAGAGTCCTGGGCCCTTCATGCAGGCCATGTCCATGGTCCACGTGCTGCCCGGCTCCAATTCGGCCGGTTCCAACAACAACAATAGTGGCGGCGGAGTAGACGCTCAGATGGCGCAGGCGCCCAACTCGGCCGCAGCAGCTGCCGCCGCAGCAGCCGTCCAGCAGCAGTATCCGCCCAATCATCCGCTAAGCGGCAGCAAGCACCTGTGCTCCATCTGCGGAGACCGGGCCAGCGGCAAGCACTACGGCGTCTACAGCTGCGAGGGCTGCAAGGGCTTCTTTAAGCGCACGGTGCGCAAGGATCTCACATATGCGTGCCGCGAGAACCGTAACTGCATCATAGACAAGCGGCAGAGAAACCGCTGCCAGTACTGCCGCTACCAGAAGTGCCTCACCTGCGGCATGAAACGCGAGGCGGTGCAGGAGGAGCGTCAGCGCGGCGCGCGCAATGCGGCGGGCAGACTGAGTGCCAGCGGACCGGGCTCAGTTGGCTCCAGCTCTGTGGGTGGCGGTTCCAGCTCTGGCGGACTGGGCGTTGGATCCGGTGGTGGCTTGGGAAGCGGCAACGGCTCCGACGACTTTATGACCAACAGCGTGTCCAGGGACTTCTCGATCGAGCGCATCCTGGAGGCCGAGCAGCGGGCGGAGACTCAGAGCGGCGATCGAGCGCTGACCTTCCTGCGCGTCGGTCCCTATTCTACGGTCCAGCCGGATTACAAGGGAGCCGTTTCCGCCCTGTGCCAGGTGGTCAACAAGCAGCTCTTCCAGATGGTCGAATACGCGCGCATGATGCCACACTTCGCCCAGGTGCCGCTGGACGACCAGGTCATTCTTCTGAAGGCCGCCTGGATCGAGCTGCTCATCGCAAACGTGGCCTGGTGCAGCATCGTGTCGCTGGATGACGGCGGTGCCGGAGGAGGAGTCGGCGGGGGCGGTGGCCTTGGACACGACGGCTCCTTTGAGCGACGGTCACCGGGACTGCAACCGCAGCAGCTGTTCCTCAACCAGAGCTTCTCGTACCATCGCAACAGTGCTATCAAGGCCGGTGTTTCGGCCATCTTCGATCGCATCCTATCCGAGCTGAGCGTCAAGATGAAGCGACTGAATCTGGACCGACGCGAACTGGCCTGCCTGAAGGCGATCATACTGTACAACCCGGACATACGTGGCATCAAAAACCGGGCGGAGATCGAGATGTGCCGGGAGAAGGTGTACGCCTGTCTGGACGAGCACTGTCGCCTGGAGCACCCCGGCGACGATGGCCGCTTCGCGCAGTTGCTGCTGCGTCTGCCCGCGCTGCGATCGATCAGCCTTAAGTGTCAGGACCACCTGTTCCTATTCCGCATCACCAGCGACCGGCCGCTGGAGGAGCTCTTCCTGGAACAGCTTGAGGCGCCGCCGCCGCCCGGTCTGGCGATGAAACTGGAGTAGGGGTCGATCCCATTCTCCGCCCGAAGAATGTTTCATTGTGATTGCGTTTGTTTGCATTTCTCCACTCTCTATCCCTCAAAATCCTCCAAAAGCCCCTCTAATATTACGCTAAATGTGTATGTAATTGTTTATTTTTTTTTATTACCTAATATTATTATTATTGATATAGAAAATGTTTTCCTTAAGATGAAGAAGATTAGCCTCCTCGACGTTTATGTCCCAGTAAACGAAAAACAAATAAAACCCAAAACTTGAAAAGAACACAAAACACGAAAAGAAAAACAAGAAGCACACAAGCAAAGTAAAAGTAAAAGTTAAACTAAAGCTAAAGGAGTAAACATAATATTAAAAGGTTAAATATTAAAGCATAGTTATGATCTACAGACGTATGTAAACATACAAGTTCAGTATACATATATATATGTCGGCAGGCGCATATCTGCGGTGCTGGCCCCGTTCTAAATCAATTGTAATTACTTTTTAACATAATTGTACCCAAGCGTTATCAATTACATGCGAGAAACAAAAAACACAGACGAAAACCAACAAAATATATCTATGTATAAAATATAAACTGCATAACAAGAGAACTTTTCGTTTTTTCTGTGAATCTGTGATTAATGCAATTGTCCGCACAAATGTGCGACTTTGATTGCATATATAAGCAGTGCGTTTCGTACTGTATGGCAAAGTGTGCGATGCTTTTTAGGTTGTGCGAGTCTGCAAGATTTTAACAAAGTTATTCGCCCGGATGTTTTACTGTCTTTTATTTCCGACTATTGAACGCAAAGTTTGCTAATCAAATTTTTGTATTAATAGTTAATTGATTTATTCTGTGGGCCTTCCAATAATTGGCTTTCTTCCAAATTTATTTGTGATATAATTAGATGGAGGTAATAAATAAATTTCACAGTGAATACTGTTTGGAAATAGACACTCTATTTAAAAATGTGTTCGTGAAATTGAACTTATTAATTTTAACTTCATGCTAGGTATATCCCAACTTGTCGATTTGAAGTATTTTTCAGGTTTTTTTTAATACATTTATAAAAACATATTTTTTGTCTTCAAAATATTACATTAAAAATGGTATTGTGAAGACAATTTGTATTTTTAAGGTAATTTATTCGAATACGATAACTTTATTTTAAATGGAAGGTTCTACATTCCCATTCTTTTCGATCCGCATATGTGTTTTTTCGTGCTCCGTGCTTACCCAATTATTGTTGCTTTGTGGGCCACCTCCTGGCCTCCACCCCTATCCTTGATGCTGCTGCCTTTCATATGGCATTTGGTAAATTTTTATAAAATTTATGTCTCAACGGGAATGTATGTTAGTATGTATTTACAAAAATATGGTATTAACGCACAAGCAGCGACTAAGAATAGATATTTTTTTCGAAAAAAGAACAAAACTCTCCGCTGACGACGCACATTATTATCTATAAATAGTGAAATTTAGGTTCCATCTCTGTCCATATATCTTTCTCTCTCATCTCTTTATCTGAATCTAAAGGAATAGCTTAAAATAGGGACAAAGCGACGGATATAATACTCTGTTTTCGGGGATCCTTGTTGTAGGGTTATGTGTTTGGAAGAAAGTGTCCTACGATTCTCCATTTAAATAAACTTAGATCTAGAGCTTTTAAAAGCTCTCACACAGTGCAAAAACAAGGAGTGTCCACACTTATTGTGGGTGATTTTTATTGGTCTAGCTAATCACTATCCTTGATTTTGTGGCTTGTGAGCATATTTAATAAATTTCATAAATATCTCGCTCCCCCGACCAAAAAGGCACACACAAATATACCTATGTAGCAGCAGCGTGTTGAAAAATGTGAAATGTGGAATGAAAAATTAAATGTTTCGCACGGAAAAACCATGAAAGCATGCCAATAAAATCATGTGTTCCCCCCAAAAACCTCTTCTCCTCCGCCGATTTGCGATTTGCGTGTTGTGTGTGTGTATTGGAAAAGAGTTTTCGAAGCGAAATTAACAATTTGCTATTTTCGTAGTTATGCGGGGGCGTTTTCCGAAGACCCAGGAAGGGGGGTTATGGGTGGATGTAGATGCTGTCTGAACCGCGGAGACTTGCTGACAGACGAGGAGAAGAAAGGCCAAGAGGCGGTGGAGAGGCAGACAAACTGACGTGGGGGCCAACAAGTTGTTGTCGTCTCGCATTCGCATATCGCATACAGGGTGCCCTTGCCCCTCCATCATCCACCTCTCTTACTTTCTTCGTGTGTCGCCTCGCCTGCAACTGCATTTTCCTACCAATTTCACTAATGGGGGTCCAACAAGAGCTCTCTTCGGCACAGCCCAACCTAAAAACCAAAAAAACAGGCGGAACAGGCAGCAGCCGCAGCTGCAATTGAGCAAAATCAAGGCAAATGAGTGAGGAATTCGCGGTGCCCATTACTCTGGCGATCTTGCTGCCAAAAAGGCTTAAGTTGGATGAAAAATGTATGGATAAATTGAAAAGTGATAGTTTATCAACGTTTTTCAATTATTTTATTGTTTATATGATGACAATTTGGCTAGCCATCAGTCAGACCATAAATTTATGAAACATTTTTTGGCAATTTAAATTAAAATAATTGAGTCAGGGGCTAAAAACTATCGGTTTTGAAATATAAAAGATAAATCAAAATTAATGAATTGAGCTAAAAATGTTTTCTTTGTTCCTATGTCTTCAAACTAAAACATCAATTTATTTTTTTTTTTATTTTTGATATTTCTAAAATAATTGTTTGTTAGACTTTTATTCATATAATAATTATTTAATTATTTATTTTTATTTAGAAAAATCCCAGAACATTTTTAATTTATTCAAATCTCAAAAAAATAACTATTGCAGGCATGCCATTTCTAAAAGTTTGGGGGTCACCAAACCTCATCAGCACATCATAGCTTGGTTTAATATTCTAAAATCCAGGGTTGTACAGTTATATTTCTTTACGAAAATTTTCAAAAACCATAAACAAGAAGTTAAAAGAAGGTAACACCCATAAAAGTGCAGACCCGCACATTTTCATTGAAATGATGGGTCCTACTGTTCGTACGCTTTAATTTGTAAAGTCCAGGATTTTTAAACCTGTCGCAGTACAATATATTTTTATATCTTAATACATTATTCGGATTGGTTGATTATTGAAAAAGAAACAAGCAGGCATGAAAGCAGCATACCCGCACATTGTTATCCAACTGAAGGGTCCCACGATTCGTACGCTTATGCTGGCCGAATTCATACTTTCTTCTGCCACCACCCACTCCCACTCTGCCACTCCCCCCGCTTCCCTCTCCACTCTGCGGCTCTTCGGATTTTCGGGTCTTCGGATGTTGGGGCTCTTCGGCTCTATGGCAAGCGATCCAAACCGATCCGATTCGATCCGATGCTCCCGCTGCACGGCGGACTTTTCCTCCTCCTCTTCTTCGGCTGCTGTGGTGCGGTGGGCGATATATGGGGCGATGTGGGGCAGATGGGGGGTGGTGGTGTTGTTAGTGGTGCGCCGACGGCGGCAGCAGCGGCGGCAACTGCGACTGCGACGACGACTGCGACGGTATTCAGAGTTGGCAGCTGGCTGGCGCGACATCAGTTTTGAGTTGGCTATCAACGCGAGCGGGTCTTTCTCTTCGCAAGCGACACACGTAGATATTGCTTCAATTGCTGTCCACACACATTGTTTTGTTGTTTTTGTTTTTGTTTGGTTCCAATACACACACACGAATAGATATTGATATATATATGTGTATATATATATGTATATATATATATATCTGGCTAACCGATCGACTCACTTGCTTTCGTTATACTCTATTTTCTTTTTTTTTGGGTTTTTTTTTGGTACTTGTTGAAAAATAAATAAATTCAAAAAAAATGAGCGAAGCAAAAAAAAAGTAACGAAAACTGTGCATGTGTGTGAGGTGTATGTGTGCGTGCGATGGTTATATATGCCTAATCACATATATCTCTATATATATCCGAACAATATGTGTATATATACATATGATCTATATGGAGAGTCAAAGTGCTACCTACCAATAAAAAAAAAGACACAAATAAAAAAACGAAAGAACGAAACCCACCGCGAGTATATCGATCTATATTTACCGGATCAGTTCCGATTTCCGATCCGAATTCGCGCTATTTCTTAAAATTATTTCAAATATGTACCAATCCCGAACCGTCCTTCTCCGCCCCCGGCCTCGCCCACTTCCCTTCGCTGCGGCGTTGACGTTGACGCCGAAAATAAAACTTTTTCAAAACATACTATTTTTAACCGATACGATACTATACGAAACGGAACGAGCGCGGAAAACACACAAAAGAACGAGCAAAGCAAAAGCAAAAATAATTAAGCAGCAAATTAACGTGTTATACAACGATTTTGCCAGTCCAAATTCGTGATTCTTCTTTTTGTATTTTTCAACTCGGATCGGAATATTAGCGGGAAACGGTTAAGGGGTGTTAGCGGGTAGAACGGCAACCACCTGTTGTGGCAGCTTACTGTTGCTCTGCTGGTCTGGTCTCTCCTCACGGGAGCTTTCAGGATCGGGGTGAGCTTTGCGCCATCAATCAATCAATCAGTAAGTCTGTCAGTCAGCACTCAGACACACGCACACACGCACCGCACAGGCAGGCACAGTTCTATAGAGACTGTCGTCCAGAGAATCGAACCAAAACCAAACTCAATCGATCGATCGACTTGAGCCGCGGCAACAAGAACAACCGGCCAAGAACAACAGCTAGCAACCAACCTACAACCTCCGTTTTCCTTCGGCAGCAGCAGCAACTGGATCACTAACAACAACAGCAGCACCAGCACCTGTGAGAGCGAGCGAGAGAGTGTGCAGCGGGACAGGGAACGAGAACGATATAGGTATATAGCGAGCGAGCGGGACATCTGACAGCGCCACAAGATGATGATGGAGAACGGACTCTCCATGGAGTACGGAGATGGCTACATGGAGCAGGAGGAGGAGTGGGAGCGTGAGGGCCTACTCGATCCTGCGTGGGAGAAGCAACAGAAGAAGGTGAGTGCGACCCTGACCCCTGGGATCCAAGTTTTAGAATCCGAGATGTGGACCTGAAAACCTTTTTATTCTTATGTAGATCAGTAACTCAAACTACTACTACTTTTAAATAACCTTCTTTTAAAATCTATATAAAAAAAGCCATGAATTTAGATATATTACCACCCAACTCAAGCAACAAATCACTCAAATAGAACTATATTTATTTTACCTCCTTACTTTAACTGTACACCCAGAAACCACTAAATCAAAGTTAAATGAACTCCAGCAACAGTGTTAAAACACTGAGTTGTGAAATGTAGGCCAGATACCTTAAATAAAAATCAGTTTAATCCAATATATTTAATAGTTTATAGTCCTTTTTAAACCTAATACGGTTAAAATCAATATATCTAAAATTCCGCAATTGTACACAATAGATACCATAAAATAAGATCGATCCGTTAGTCGAATGATAAACTGTCTAGGTCAAAGCGAATTAAAACTATAGTTCGGAACAAAAACAATGCATCCTAGAAATAGTTATATTCTGCTTTTGGTTTAACCAATTGCAAATAAGATAAACACCGTTGCAGTGGTTGCTTTTTAAAATCGCAAGAACTATGCTTTTTTTACTAAGAGGTTCCAGTTTAGCTGTTTTTTCCGAGAGGGTACACACAAACATACAAAGGAATGATAATCGGAAAAATGAAAGGTTTAACCTTGTGAAAGATTTTCAGCAAATATTCCGGAAAGGTCTGGATATAGAAAACGTCTTGGAAGTTCCTTTTCATTAGCCAATTTGTCGAATATCTACTGTATCCGTAGATCGTATGTATAAGACATATGCTCACTGGCCTGGCTGTGTTCTATATTTTTCGATTATGTTTCAATATTTTACCGAGCCAACACCACCACCACCATCACCGCAACAACAACATAGGAATCACACAAAAAAAGCTAGAACAACAACTACAAAAAAGCTCAGTGGCCCGTTTTAAAAATAGAATTCTTCTTTCTTGATTTTCATGGCTCTTGTTGTTCGAGCAATGTTTGAAGATAGTACGAAAATAGTTTGTTGCTGTTCAGGAACTATACATATAGAATAGCACATATAGAACGTATATCCAAAAGCCTTCGATCGCTTATGATTATGAAAATCGAAGATCTCTTTGGTTTCCTCCACTGCTGATTTCGATCCACCCAACAGGTTAATCACCATAAAAAAAAACCCAACCCTCCCAATCGAAACCGAAGGTTAACCAACCCATTTTCCACACAGTTTCCAATCCAACCCCCTGGCACCCCTTTGATCTTCTTTTTTTCATCGATTGGTTTGTTTGTTGGTTGTTTGTCGTTGTCCGCCAGCGGAAGCATACCGTTACACCTTTGGCGTCTAAAGAAGAACAGCAACTAATTGCCACTGTTTAGATAAAGATGGAAACATCGATCCATAAGTAGGTGGCAATTGGGGTGGAGACATCTAGAAAAACCTGAAGGTCGTAGGCGATAAGAGTTAGAAGGCCAACAATAACGTGAAGATAGTGAAAAGGCATAGAGGATATTGCCCAGAAAGACCCATTCCCAAGATCTCTAACCTAGAGACCTGCAACAACCATACACCTATATGTTTATTTATATACATAATTCTATAAATTGCCAGCCAAAATTTAGTGCAAGGCTGTGTTTTTGACACGACGCCTAGGTGGTGAAATGAAATTGACAATTATAAATAGACAGCATTCCTATGCACCACATTTCCACGCTATTCGGATTCAGAATATCTATGTATCCCCGAGATTCAGATTCATCAGCCACCCACACTCATAAAGCATGGCGAAAATGCAATGACAAATCGCTGGCGCACAAACGAAACTGAAAATAATTAACGAAGATCGGAAAAAAGTCGAGAAATAAATACAAAATAAAGCGAAAATATGAAGATTTTTGGCGGTCGCCGGACGACTTGAGCTTGACATGCTCGGACATGTATGCCTGGCATCTCGCTCGCTCTCTATACGCATTTCGTAACCGTAAATTACCAAACGGAATTCGTCAGCTGCTGAATAATGAGAGCCGAAAAAAAGAAAAAAAAAACAGCCACCGAAATTGTTTCTTTTTTGTGTTTACATTGAAAGCAGCCAAGCAACAAAAGGTGTAAAGATGGGGGGAATGGGTGTGGGTGGTGAGTGTCTACCGCCCCTCCTCCATGCCCCCATGTCTCATCTTATGACTCATGTGTGCGAAATGTGTGAATGAATGAGGAGGATCAGCGGCCAGGGTTGCCACCCTCCTCCATCCGCCTGGCCTGTGCGAATGAGTCCATGCTATGGGGCCGCTCAAATTACACTCGGCTAAAAATGGGTGTGCAAGAGCGAGTCCGTTGCTGCTGTGCTGCCAATAGAGAGCTTTTCCCCAAAAAAGCTTTTTTTAAACTAAACAAAAAAAAACAAAAAATACGGCGGACGACGGTCGTTTGTGTTTTTTTCTCGCATTTGGCGCGTGCGCCTTGACCGGCCAAAAAGATTGCTCAATCATAGATCTGGAAGTTGGAAACTGCAAGCTGGTCCAGGCAACTCTGCCGCTCTGCTGCAATCGGCGCAGGCCACTGGCCTCTGCCGCCGACGTCGCCGCTGCCCGATAACGGTAATTGATCAGAGACGAAAACGGGTTGCCGGAATGCAACCGCTCGAGAAAAGAGAGGCTGCAACCAATCAGTGTTGCCAGATTTGTAGAAAGAAAACGGTTAGGAAGCTCCAAAACGCAAACAGTTTTTAAAATTAATGGGATGAAACTTAAAAATTATACAGTTTTAAAAGTATTATTGGCGATTCAATCCCCTGATTTTATTTCATTGTTATGTTTCAGCATTTTAATGACCCACCAGCGCAAATGAGTATGTAAAGTTTACCCCTCTTTATTAATAAATTTTAGGCAATTGGCATAGGGTTTGTAAAAACTAGATTGAATGTTTCACATAAAAAAAGATCTTTAAATTTCATACATAAATGTATAAATGTATCTAACAATTCGAAATACACTAGAAAAAATCTAGAAGTCATGTTTGGTTGGCAGCACTGGATGCTGAGTGGAGACTAGCGGTAAGCCGGAGCGACTCGTTTTGGCGACGCAATGCAGTCGTAGTCGACTCCTCTCTCTCCTCTCTTTCTCGACTGGCCTAGTTTGAGTTGTTATTGTTCAAGTGGGTACTGTGTAATCTGTCCCCAGCAACCGTTGTGATCGTTAAGTGAGAAAGAGAGGGGCAGCGCGATTTGCATTAACAGTTGCATTTCTTGTTCTCTGCTTAGATCAGCTCTCTCCACTCTCCTCCTCTCTCCTGTCTGACGCACCTAACTGTAAGCTAATGGCCAATAAAGTGGAGCCCCCTGCTCCTCCTATTTTGATCCCGTTCTAGCGGTGATCCATTGTGATGCATATATGGCCATTTGTCAATCGGTTTGGACTACCTCCTCCTCCTGTCCCTTTCCTTTTCATTTTCATTTGTTCCGGGTTTTCCGTGAATGGGGTTTCCTCAAGAAGGCGAAGGCTTTACAAATTCCCAGGGCCATAAATTGGGCGTTACTAACCAAATCTCCATAACAATTCCGAGTTGTAAAATTACAAAACCTTACGATTGGGTGGGGGAGGGGTTCTCCAAAATAATGAAGTGTGTGCAAAAAAGAACTGGTTTATATTTATACACATGCACATGTGTGCCTGCTGTCTTTTCTTGTTTTCTCTTTGTTCTGGCTGTGCTCCATCGTCGTCTGTCTGTCCCCATTCGGTGAAAAATAACTGCAACTGTCAGCCCCAGTTGGAGACCTAACAGTGGGTCGCGAATAAAAGAGGGTATAGGGAGGGGGTCTTGCCAGCGATCAGTAAATCAGCTAAAAGCCGAATGCAGCCAACAACAAAGATTTCTGGGCTGGGACTGCCCTAAATGGATGGCGAAAGAAAACAGGAACTGAGACTCTGGGACAGCTGGCGGCGATCAGCGATCAGCTGTCCCGCAAACAGGGTGTCACGCCCCCAAAATCCCAAGATATACATGTACAAGGATCTTGGTGTTAAAAAAATAAACATTTCGTTAGGTATAGTTATTAATTAATTAATTATGACTGCTTTTAAATCTTTGAACATTTTAACATGTTTCATGACTTCATTACGTACAGAGATTCTTTACTGATTCGCATCATTTAAAAATATTCAATATTCTATCTTCAAATCGATCAACTTAATTATTACCTATTCCAATAAAGGGAAATTAATTTAAGCTTAATAGCATTGCAGCATTGAATATCTAAAAATCAATTTATAATAAGACTCTTCACTAAACACCAAGGACTAGTATAGATCTTAATTAACTTGTTGTGATGTGCAATTTAATATAATTATTTTGTGCTTAAACCTAAAATGAAAAGGTGTCAACAAATTAAATATCTTTGGAGGTATTGGTATTATTACTGTTTTAACAGCTTTTAGAAAGTACTTATTGGTTTATCTTCAAAATATAATGCCCGTAACTTTTGCCCAACAAAACCTCTTATCGAAACCAATTATAACTCTGATTTAAAACATATCCCTAGACATTTACCGCTTGGTGTAACAGTCATCTGCGCAAAGCCGGCACCGCCATCGACAACATTGAGGAGGACTTCCGCAACGGCCTCAAACTGATGCTGCTGCTGGAGGTGATCTCCGGCGAGACGCTGCCCAAGCCCGATCGCGGCAAGATGCGCTTCCACAAGATCGCCAACGTGAACAAGGCTCTCGACTTCATCGCCTCCAAAGGCGTCCACCTGGTGTCCATTGGCGCCGAGGAGATCGTGGATGGCAACCTCAAGATGACCCTGGGCATGATCTGGACGATCATCCTGCGTTTCGCCATACAGGACATATCTGTGGAGGAGATGACCGCCAAGGAAGGTCTGCTGCTGTGGTGCCAGCGCAAGACGGCGCCCTACAAGAACGTCAACGTACAGAACTTCCATCTGTCGTTCAAGGTGGGTTGTGCAGGCTCCCCTGGATTCTTAATTGCTCAACGATTTCAATGCCTTCTATAGGATGGTCTGGCCTTCTGCGCCCTTATCCACCGCCATCGTCCAGATCTGATCGACTACGCCAAGCTGTCCAAAGACAATCCTCTGGAGAATCTTAACACTGCCTTCGATGTGGCCGAGAAGTATCTGGATATCCCGCGCATGTTGGACCCAGATGGTATGTGTTTTTGGGACTGATTGTTTTTGGGGTGGTTAAGAATCAGTAATGGGATATATCTTATTGTTAGATATGTTTAAGTTCCATTTATTTTATAGCGTATTTTAAGCCCACAAAGTAACGAAATTACGAGTTACAAACTCTTCTTCATTTTCGTACTTCAGTACAACGTTTTGCTTATACTCCAAATAAATCTCTTAGATAGAAAATCTAAAAGAAATTACTAAATATTGCTTACATAGGAGAGTAAATAGTCTGTTCAGCCCAAAATAATTATTTAACTGGTAAAGCCAACTAATAGAATTTTTTGTTGTAATTGAATTAAGATATAAATTTCTGCAATTATTTTTGATACATCCCATTACTGAACAATAGTAGCATTGAGGTTTTTTCGTGGGTTTCGGGGGTTAGCGATTAGACGTAAGCCAATGCCTGGGTTCTGGTTCTAATCACTGCGATTGGTGAACAACGACAGATTTGATCAACACTCCGAAACCGGATGAACGTGCCATCATGACGTACGTCTCCTGCTACTACCACGCCTTCCAGGGAGCCCAACAGGTTGGAAATGTGACGCATGTACCCGAACCCACAAGACAATACACCTACGTCCCGAATAATTACAATGTGACTAAACTTCACCACGATACACTTAAATATCTAGCTCTAGCGCGGCATATCGATATACATATATCTATATCTATATATGAGCATATGCCTTCCTCGTTCTAAGTATATTTTTATGCGATTTTGCGATGTTACCGCTGCTGCTGTTGCTGCTGCCGCTCTTGCTTTCCTTCTTCTTCCCATCACCGCGGGCCTTGACCAAATGCGCCGCACGAACGCGCGTCATCCCAAGGTCGCCGCGGTTCGGGACCAAGGTCGAGCCAAGGTCAAGCCAAAATCAGAGTCACAGCTACCAGAAGGGCAGCGGGAATCGCCACGAAATTGCGCCCTCTCCTTATATCGAATTTGAATCGCCTGGATTTGTCTTGATTCGATTTGCATTGGCCTCGTATATTATTCGTTCCCGCATCCGTATCCGCATTTGCATCCGCATCTGCCAGATGCTAACAACCGCTCTACTAACTGCGCTTGAACAGATATTTGAGATTATGCTTAACCCTATATAAAATGGGAGTCCAAAAAGTTCTGTTAGTTATTTTTAATCTTCGAAACCCGTCACTGAACACAAATAACTTGGATTTTTGATAAAACTGTAGCCACAGGGCCTTTAACATAGGAGACACAATTTCTCCCACTAGATCTCCATTGTCAAGTGAATTTTTAACCAAACAGAAGATAGCTGTCTTTAATAAGGCGAACCTAAGCAAGTTCGACCCTTTAACATCCATAAAAAAACCAAGCTTGTAACTCCAGTTAGCCCATTTCGAGTTAATAGGTTGAATATCTCCAAACCGTGCGCATTGCATGCTGCAAATAATCTGCAATGCGTTGAGCTTGCCCTGTTTATAGGTGTTTAATAAGGCGCTCGGAACCAAAACTCGATCCCTGATAGGATAAAAAAACCAAAAAACATTTTAGATCCAGTGTTCGAGTTTTGTGCGCCGAAATGAGATTGTGTCCACTAACCTAGCATAAGCCTAAAATGATTGTGATAATGTTTGATGCCTGTCGAGACTAACCAAGTTAAAGATTAACTCACTTGTATGTTTGTTGCTTTCTTTATCTTTCTCTCTTTTTATTATCTCTCTGTGTGCGCGCTCGCTCCGCTCATCAAAAAACAAAAAAACCAACAACTGCCATTAACCAATCTGCAACTGCAATCGCCACAACAACAACTACAACAACAACCTTCCTGAAAAATCAAAAATAAAAAACAAAAAAAACACCACACACACGATCACAGATCTGCAGAATACAGCTTTGCCCGATGAGCGAGCGGTGATGACCTATGTGTCCTCGTACTATCACTGCTTCAGTGGCGCCCAAAAGGTCTGTTAAACACCAAAAACATCCAATCAGTCACCCCAACAACAAAATCACTAGCACTAGCACAACACAACATTTGTTGATGGCGCCCGAGCAGGTCTTTTTAATATGCATCTTGATTAGTATTGCCAAAAGTAATACTGACTATTGATGACTCATCAAAGAGCTGTAAAGGGCGCCATTGATAGAATCATTTTCTTCTCCTTTCCTAAAACTTTCTCATGTACTATTCTTTTTTTGAAATTTGAAGCCGGTCACCCTCTTAAACTTTTTTCTGAAATGCCAGTAATATTCGTAAATGTCCAGTGGTTCTATTGCAATCTCTTGCCTTCTTTACTTCAAATACATAGGACACTGACTGACTTTGAGAATTCCTTTCATGATTTTCCTTCTTCTATATCTGCTTACTCTTATACCATATCATCGATAAACACAATAAAAACACAACGCGCTATGCTAACTGCAGATTTGACTGAGCATCCTGATCCTTAGACCGCTTTACTGAAATGGAATGGATTTCTTTGCCATTGCATTTGTTAGCCATGTTTTCGGTTGCTTCTTTCGTTTCCGTTTATTTTACTTTCTGCAACGTTTTATATTCATTTTTATATAGGGCACACAGTTCAGTTCAGTTCAGTTCAAATCAATGGGTCGGTGGCATGGAGCTGAAGTGAGCTGAGCCGCGTCGCCCAGTTAGTGTTCCTGTTCCTGTTTCCTGTTCGTCTTGTTTTTGCTTTTCCAAATCTGAGTTGGTTCCGTGCCCACACATACACGCACACTCAGAGCGAAACGATTGAAGCCTTCTAATGTGCAACCTTTCCACCTTTTCCACCCACCCAACAACCATGTAACCAACCAAAAACACCAAACGACAGGCGGAAACCGCTGCCAACCGCATCTGCAAGGTGCTCAAGGTCAACCAGGAGAACGAACGCCTCATGGAGGAGTACGAGCGTCTGGCCAGTGATGTAAGTAGAAGAGTAGGGGTGCTGAAATTGCCCTTTGGCATTTGTGCATTTACCAACACAAGTCGAGGGAAAGTCAAATACAAATTTCATTTGGATTAGCGATCAAAAATTGAAATCAATGTATTTGTTGGTGGCTTGCCTCGTTTCTTACATTGTGAGTGTATAGTGCATGGGCATGAGCACCCCTAAAGTAAAACGATTGGCTATGGAGAAGCCTACTTACTGACCTAATCCTGATCCTGATCCACACAGCTGCTGGAGTGGATCCGTCGCACCATGCCGTGGCTGAACTCGCGCCAGGCCGACAACTCGCTGGCGGGCGTGCAGAAGAAGCTGGAGGAGTACCGCACCTACCGGCGCAAGCACAAGCCACCACGCGTGGAGCAGAAGGCCAAGCTGGAGACGAACTTCAACACGCTGCAGACCAAGCTGCGTCTGTCCAACCGGCCCGCCTATCTGCCCACCGAGGGCAAGACCGTGTCGGACATTTCGAACTCGTGGAAGGGTCTGGAGCTGGCCGAGAAGGCTTTCGAGGAGTGGCTGCTGGCCGAGACCATGCGCCTGGAGCGCCTCGAGCATCTGGCCCAGAAGTTCAAGCACAAGGTGAGTCGGTCATTGGGATGACCTCTTGTTATTAATTTATAACTAAATCCCGTCCGCACAGGCCGATGCCCATGAGGACTGGACGCGTGGCAAGGAGGAGATGCTGCAGTCGCAGGACTTCCGCCAGTGCAAGCTCAACGAGCTGAAGGCCCTCAAGAAGAAGCACGAAGCCTTTGAGTCTGACCTGGCCGCCCACCAGGATCGCGTCGAGCAGATCGCCGCCATCGCCCAAGAGCTGAAGTAAGTATCCGCCCAGAGCGAGCCCATTAGCTAATTTCGATTTATCCCCGCCTGCTGCCACTGATGGCCAATGGTGTTCACCAATCTGGTCTGCGTCCAGCGTGAGGTTAGGTAGAATTCCACCTCCTTGATCTGTCATCCATCCAGACATTATCACAAGAAAAGGGTCAACCAGTGAAAGTCTACAACTAGGCAAATAAAATAGGATTTCTGAATACTAAAATTTGTCGATCTAACAGCAAACGATCTATGGAATGGAAAAGGGAAAACCATGGCTTTTTTTTATTTTTCGAGTGGGAAAATTATTCTGCATTCAAAACTTAACAAGACTATTCTAATTATAATTTTTTAATGGTTCAGCAAATTAAAAAAATGTTTTTTCTACATTAATAAATTTAAAAAAGCTTAAATAATATAATTTTAAATTAGTTGTGCCTGAACAAGTACATTTTGCTAACCAGACTATTTTTAAAGCCAGTTATCGAATATGATCTCTAAGTCTAAGCATACGTTAGGTTAACTGGCAACATCGTCATCCGACCATCCATCCCATTTTTATCTGGCAGCGCTCACCACAGACCATTAGCGCCTGAGATCTAAACTAATCCGTAATCCGTGTTCCCAATCCACAGCACCCTGGAGTACCATGACTGCGTGTCGGTGAACGCCAGGTGCCAGCGCATCTGCGACCAGTGGGACCGCCTGGGTGCTCTCACCCAGCGCAGGCGCACCGCTTTGGACGAGGCCGAGCGCATCCTGGAGAAGATCGACATCTTGCATTTGGAGTTCGCGAAGCGGGCGGCGCCATTCAACAACTGGCTGGACGGAACGCGCGAGGATCTTGTGGACATGTTCATCGTGCACACCATGGAGGAGATCCAGGGCCTCATTCAGGCGCACGACCAGTTCAAGGCGACGCTGGGCGAGGCCGACAAGGAGTTCAACCTGATTGTGAACCTGGTCCGCGAGGTGGAGTCGATTGTGAAGCAGCACCAGATCCCCGGCGGCCTGGAGAACCCCTACACCACCCTGACCGCCAACGACATGACCCGCAAGTGGAGCGACGTCCGCCAGCTGGTGCCCCAGCGCGACCAGACGCTGGCCAACGAGCTGCGCAAGCAGCAGAACAACGAGATGCTGCGCCGCCAGTTCGCCGAGAAGGCCAACATTGTCGGCCCCTGGATCGAGCGGCAGATGGATGCGGTCACGGCCATCGGCATGGGATTGCAGGGATCGCTGGAGGATCAACTGCACCGGCTCAAGGAGTACGAACAAGCCGTCTACGCCTACAAGCCCAACATTGAGGAGCTGGAGAAGATCCACCAGGCGGTGCAGGAATCGATGATCTTCGAGAACCGATACACCAACTACACGATGGAGACGCTGCGCGTCGGCTGGGAGCAGCTGCTCACCTCGATCAATCGCAACATCAACGAGGTGGAGAACCAGATCCTCACCCGCGACTCCAAGGGCATCAGCCAGGAGCAGCTGAACGAATTCCGCAGCAGCTTCAACCACTTCGACAAGAACCGCACCGGCCGCCTGTCGCCCGAGGAGTTCAAGTCGTGCCTGGTCTCGCTGGGCTACTCAATCGGCAAGGATCGCCAGGGTGACCTGGACTTCCAGCGCATCCTCGCCGTTGTCGATCCCAACAACACTGGCTACGTGCACTTCGACGCCTTCCTCGACTTCATGACCCGCGAGAGCACCGATACCGACACTGCCGAACAAGTCATCGACTCCTTCCGAATCCTGGCAGCCGACAAGGTGGGTTACCTATCTACCCCATTCTTTTTGGGGGGGATTGTCAAAGCAAGGGCTGAATCGCTTTTCCATAAACCCATGTTCTTAGAGGTACAAATCAAGCAAACATGTGACTGTGAACACATTAGGTTTTTTGGAGTTCAAATTGGTCATTGTAATGATTGTATATTAGCCGAGATATCTTGCAAAAGCCCTTTCTATTAATTTTGCTCTAAGAGTGATTTGCAGGATAACTTATTTAAAACTGGACGCACAGAAAAAGATTTTCTATTTCGAAATTAATGCTATCTTATAGTTAGATTAGACAAGCTAACAGTAAATTTTAGAAGATATAGCAAAGGGTGGCCTTATGCTCTCATGGCACATTCCTATATTGTAGTTTAATTTAAATTTACCTTTTTTGTTTTATTTGTTAACTTAAATAATAGTTTTCATTTCATATATATTATATTGTATTGATAGTTTGCTTTATATCAGAACGAGATAGCTATTTGAGTGTTGTCGTCGGTGTAAATTTGTTGGGGGATTTGAAGGCAGAGCATGAGGTGATAAAATAGGGAATGGGCTATGCTATTGGTGAACAGATGTTAGTTTGCGATTCAGCCCCTGTGCCCTTGAAACCTGTTCAAACTCCAGTCTCTAATGATTCCCCTACGTAACCTTTTTCCAGCCATACATTTTGCCCGACGAACTGCGCCGCGAGTTGCCCCCAGATCAGGCCGAGTACTGCATTCAGCGCATGCCGCCCTACAAGGGAGCCAACGGAGTGCCCGGCGCCCTGGACTACATGTCCTTCAGCACAGCTCTCTACGGCGAGACCGACTTGTAAGAGAAGGGCCTAGGCACCACCTGCACCTGCACCCGTATCCGACGGACTGCGTCGGCGGATCCGAGCAGAGCCAGACCATATAATAATGATAAACTTTAATAATAATAATATTAATAAACATAGATTTATTATACCTACACTCGTAACGGTAGCTGCAGAAGAACTTCAGAGCATCATGTGAGGATGAATATATATTTATTAATTTCCGTCTCGAGCCGATGTATGCGACCCACACATACAAAACAAAACAATGGAAAGAAAAGCCAATCAAATTGTGAAATATGAAACACACATACATTATATACATTTGTAAAACAGCAAGGCAACCCATCAAGTGCATATCGAATATTTAAATCTAATTCTAAAACCAAGTCCAAAACAAAACAAAAACATCAACAAAACGCTAAAAACAATATTTTTTGAAATTTATGTTAATAAAAACAAAATCCATACATAAAAAAAAAAAAACAAAAAGAAATGAAATCGACAAATCTCATGGAGATAAATTTCTTCAAAACTCTAAAGAGATATGTAAATAAAGGGAGGGAGATAGTAAAACAAAATGGGGCAACTTTAGACTACTTCCGTTTCCGTACCTTGAAGTTCCACCAGATAGAGCGAGACGGCGATACATCTAGAGAGAAAGAGAGAGAGAGAGGAAGCGAGGCCACTAGATGAAAGGAATAATACTGTTCTATATTCACACAGTTACTGTAGCTATTTATTCATCAACAATTTCAAAACTTTAGTTTCCGCTTATCTCGAACATATTCACAATTTCAGAACTAAAACTACAATTCATATACAAAATTCAGATAACGATGATGAATAAAGCGATTTCTTGGTGATATTGTGTTTTCGTACAGAAGTGGAGAAGTGGGTTAATAAATAAAACTATCGGATTGCTTAGCTGAACAATGGGAAAATTTATTTCTTGATTCGTTGAAATTTTGATTGTTGGAAATCTTTTAAAAATATTTGCATAAATAAGTTTTAAATGTAAGATGTGTTTGGATCGAGTGACCTATCAGCTACGAAGTACACTACATTAACAAACGCGCACACACACACGCACGCGTTGATTCACACACAGGCACACGATTTTCATTTTCCATGGGGCTTTACAAAAAACCAGGTTCGATCAAGGCAATCTGTGTTCATCAGGGTCATCCGGGAGTAGTCCTGGGAACTGCTCCTTTCCTCTCGTGGCTCCGACTTGCATCTTTTCCAATGACGCGGCATAGGATAATTTCGTATACCCTTGCAGAGGCCTTTATAACATTAATACATTTCTATCGATCGCTTTTTTTCTAATTTGTTCTGCTTTTGTCAAAATCAAGCGGCTTAATCCGGAACAAGACAATTGTAAGGGGAACAAAAGCTTGCTCATTAGAGTTTTCCTAAAATCGGACCACAAAATCCTAGCTATAGGTACAGCAACTGATTTTAAAAATAATCACATGGAACTTGAGGGGTTAGCGTTTATAACGGATACTAGGAGATCTTATGAGTTGTGTCGAAATCGGAAGACTTAAACAGCTTACACAACTTCTTTGTGTTGAACGATATACATCCTGTTGTTTCCTGTTGTGTACATTATTTGTTGACCGTATCCCAAATTTCGGGGGCGACTTTCAATAATTACTGCAAGGGTATAATAACTTCGGCATGCCAAAGTTAGCTTCCTTCCCTTTGCGTTTTATGTGTGGTTTTTTTTGTATGGATCAATCAATTTCCGCTTTATAAATACATTTTCAATGTTTAACAACAACAATTGAATTCTCATGTGTATAAATATATCTATGCTTAACAGGCTAATTTACAATTGTATATGCTGGGAGTTTAGTATAATAGAATTGGTATATTTGTCGGGAAAGCTTTTTAATTTGTCATTTAAAATTAGCAAATCAATTTCGCTTAACTACCAACGACGTCCTTGCTTTGTTTAGGCAGCTACAATTTTAGAATTCCTTGGAATGGAACAGAGGCCACCAGAGGCACCGAGAACACTGATCAATTTGATTGTTTTGTGGTTCACACTTGTATTTGCTTTCGATTTTGGTTTACTTGGTTGAATTAGCAGTTTAGTTTGTAGTTTGTAGTTTTTGTATTTATGTTGTTTCAATGAAAAATATGTACATTTTAAGAGTTAATGTTAGGTCTATATAATAATCTGATCTGTATCTGTGTGTAAGCGGGTTTTGGGGTGAGTAATGGGTTGTAGATGTATAAATGGAAATACAAAATGTTTATAAATTAAGATTCTACGTACAAGCGAATGGTATTCTATGTGCGGTATTGGATTGCTAGCTGCTAGTTTGTGTGTATAGTGGTCTGAAAATGCTCCTGGGATGAATGGTTGGGATTCATGCAAAAAAAAAACTAGGGCTCTGGGATCCTGTTCCCCGTTTCCGGTCCTGGGATCACCAGTAGCCCAAAGTTGGTATACCTTCTTGTACACAATTTATTTTTGTGCTGCATTTTCTCTTAAATTAAGTGTGTGTGTGTGGGTGACAGTTAGTGTAGCAGTAGGTGTGTGTGTGTGTGTTTGTGTGTGTTTTGGGGTTTCTTACAAATCTATAAACCGTTTAGCTCTAGCAATTTTGGTATCTATAATACACGAATCGCAAGTTAATATGCCCGTAATTCTATTTAAAAAAATATAGTATAAGTCTACAATAATAGAGTAGCATAGTTTAGAGTAAAGTGTATCGCTATCTCTAACTATCCATATCCGCTTCTTCATTCGCTTTCGCATCGGCATCTTCCATCTTCCATCTTCATATGTTCTATCATCATCTCCTGCATCAGTGGCATCGGCTCCAGTGCCTAACTAGTGGGTTGCTTATGTAATAATCGTATTCGTAACCGTATCTCGTTTTATACACAATCAACGTTATGTAATCTTACAATTATCTTGATTTCTTATCCGTTTTTATGTCTGTACGTCCATATTGTTATTTAGTTTATCACTTATACTACTTGCAGCCATGGAATTTTGGAGTTTGTGATATCCATGGAGCCGCCACCGGTCACCTCCTGCTCTAAAGCTCGCCGCTTAAGCTGCTGGCCGCCTGCTGCTTGTTGATCCTGCTGCTCCGCCTGGTGCCCACCGATGATGATGATGATGATGATGTGGATGAAGATGCTGCTGCCGCTCCTCCTGCCCATGGCGGCCGCATTCGCCGTCATCAGTCCTTGCCGGAGGAGCTGCTACCCCCCATCATGTCGCCACCAGAGGCGTTGCCGCCGCCCATCTGCTGCGGGATTACCGTCAGACTCTTGGGTATTTTCGACATGATGGCATTTTCTATGAGCTTCTGCTGGTGCTGCTGCTGTTGCTGCTGCTTAAGGGTAAACAGGCTACCCCCCGTGGATTTGTTAGTAGCTCCGCCGCCGCTACTCGTTGCCGTGGCTGGTTTGGCCGTGAGATGTGGCAACTTGCTGGCGGCGGAATTGCCGGCACCTCCTCCTCCTCCGTTCCCATTGAGCAGGTACTGATTGGGATCGGGGAAGTTCTTCCACAGCCAGGAACTGTTGCTGTTGTCCAGCGGACTGGGCAGCAACGGCTGGAAGTTGGGTGCCTGGTTGCCAATCTGCGGATTGGTCAGCGGTGGCATCGGTTTGGGCGCCAAACGCCTGACACCCGCTGCTCCCGCCGCTCCTCCTCCTCCCTGCTGCAAAGTAGGCAGCTGCTGCTGTTGCTGCTGTTGTTGCTGCTTCTGCTGCAGCTGCTGAAGCTGCTGACGCGCCGTGTGCTGTTGGGCCAGTTTCACCATGGTGGAGAAGGCAGCCGCCGAGGCAGCAGAGTTCTGCTGTTGCTGATGCGTTTGACCCTGTTGCTGCTGCTGGTGATTCTGTGGCTTCTGCTTGGCGTTGGTCTTGAGCATCTGGTCGCGCAGCAACTTCTCCCGGCGCAGAATGCACATGCGGTTGTAGTCGAAGATGGAGATGAGGTATGGCTTGCCACCGGACTGCACCTGCACCAGAGCGGGCAGTCGACGACCGTCGGCGGTCTGATACAAAGCATGCGACTTATTCGGCACCTTGTGCTGATCCTCAAGCGGTATCAGCGTGGGCTTCCAACTCTTGCTCTCATGCCGCTCCTGGGCGGTTAGGGTGTCTGGCAGTATGACCACATTGGGCGGAGGTGGTCCACCCGCTCCCCGGCTTCCGCCTGCGGCTCCAGTTCCCGTTCCAGCTCCTGCCGTTGGGCCTGCTCCAGATCGTGAAAGTTGCAGCCTCTTGGCGGGCAGATTGCCAAGCAGACTGTTGCCCGCCGCCGCTCCTGCTCCCGCTCCGCTCGTCCGCCGGCGATGCAGACTGATAAGTTCTGGCGGAGAGCTCAGCAATTGGGCCACACTAGGAGGCTGCTTCAGAGGACCGCTTGTTCCGCCGTGCTGCTGCTGCTGGTGCATTGGTGGCTTCAGCTTGGACTGCAAACTAAGCATAGCGGCGGAAACCGATTCGTTCTGGCTGCTAAGCAGCTTGTTGGCCACGGCCACGTCAAGGATCTTTTGCTGCTTCTCAGGCACATGGCTTGCCACTGTTGACTTGTTGGCCAGCGAAGCGATGGACGTAAGGAAATTTTTAGATGCAGCAGTGGATGTGGAGGTGGATGTGTTTAAGGCGGGTGTCAGCGGCACAATCTCCACGGCGGCTTTGTTAATGCCCAGGAGATTGGTCTTCAGGATGCTGCGGCTGTTGCCACCAACACCGGCGGCCACCAATGGCGGTGCATCCTTCGCCTGGGCGGAAGCGGATGCGACTGCTGAGACCTTGGTGACGGCCACCACCTCCTCTGGGGAGGAAACAGCTGACGAGGAGCAGCTGGAACTTGACGTTGAGGATCCGCTGTTGGAGCAAAGCTGCGATTTGTCCTTGGGCCGGGCGATGATCGTCACTGCATTCGAGCTGAGCTGCTTGGTAAGCTTGTCGACAGAGACGACGCTAAAGCGTTCCAAGGGTGATTCCGATTGCCTGGCATCCGAGGGCTCTCCATCAGCCGCTCCTCCTCCAATCGCATCCTCGCCTTCGTCATCGTCGTTGAGCTCGACCAGCGGGATGACTGGATCCACTGAGGCATGCTGTTCCGCTGAACTGGCTGCGGTTGCGGCTAAGGAGGACGAGTGGCTAGTAGCGGGCGTTGTGAGAGCGGTGGCCAGGACACTGGCGCCCGCGTGCTGGGGAATTCCGCTGCGCTTGCTGGAGCCTGCGGAAGAAGGGCTGCCTCCTGTTGTGCTGCCCCCCAATCCTCCGCAGTGGCCGTGATCGAAGGAGCTTAGCCTCTGGCGAACAGTCTCCGTGTATACCGTGGCATTGGATGAGGCATGCGGGGCCAGGACGAGATCCCCGTTGCGATAGTATTTCTCCAGCAGGATCAAGTGGCGCAGGAAGGAGCTTTGGTTACCGTATGGCTTCTGCAACTCCTCCCAGAGGCGGCGCGTCGGCTCGTCGTACTGCAGGAAAGTCTGCACCCGTGTCCAACCCTCCGGCGTCCGCTGGCTGCTGCTGCATCCAAAGGGAACCTTAAACTGCACGCCTAGCTCTTCCTCGCCGTGGAATAGTTCCCGCATCGAAATGTTCGGATTTCCACGTAGCACGTTCGAGATGTCTGCCCCTCCTCCGGCACCCGCTCCTGCGGATCCCGCTCCACCAACTCCTGTACCCGCCGCTCCTCCTGCAGCATCTGCTCCTAGATTCTGCTGCAGAATGGCCTGAAGCTTTGACATTTGCTTGCTGGTGTCCAGGGCTGCGTTCGACGAAGTACTCGAGTTGGAGTCGGTGGGTCCATCATAGTCCACAACCATCGGCATTTCTGCGTCCTCGTGGCAATCTGCCGTGGCCC